TGAGCAAATAGAACAGTCATATTCGGACGCCTCCAAAAAACCTAACGTCAAAAGAAGTGTTCCATGATTTGCAGGCTAAAATTTGGACTTACTAAGCTGATCTTTATACACCTCCTTCTAGGACCAAACCGACCAATATGCCAAACTTGTAGCAATTCACCTCGCACTGTCCAACAACTATTCCAGAGAACAAAATACCAAAAAGAAAGAATCAAACCCAAAGAAACTATAATCAAAACGCAAAGGAAGTTATGGTTTTGGAACAACGCTTAAGTATTTATTATTAACGAAATAAATTCTTTATATCTAAGAATAATAGTCGTCACTAATGATCCCGGAATTCAAAGTGACGTTGAATAAAAGCAAACATATATGAATATGTAGTAAGTAATGAGTGTATAAGTATATGACCCTTTCAGATGACAGAATGACTAACTCCAATTCCAACAATTTTGATTATTTATTTTAGTGATATTTCTGGTGGGAAAATGTATAGCTTTATTCACAGTTTTATATTTCAACACTGCAATCACCTTATCTGGAATTAACTTACTGTCTGTTCAGATATCATAAATTTTAAAACTTGAAATATCACTAAAATGACTTTACTCAAAAATGTTTAAATGGAGTTAGTCATTCTGTCATCTGAAAGGCTCGTATATAAATAAGTTAGAATTTAAATTTCTACAATATTTTCAAATAGGTATTTATACAAGTATACTTATGAAAATATACTACTATAAATTATATCAGCTGCTTTTTTCTGTTATCTTATATCGCCCATATTGCTTACATATCTTCTGCTCTTCTTTAAAATAAAAGTAAACTACTGGAAATACTTTGATATGTTATAGTTTTAAATTTTTACTAAAATACCGTAGAGATGGAGTTGGAAACAATACCCAATGTTAAACAGGAACAGAGCCATGGTGATCAAGGGAGTATTTACACATGTCCGCGGCGTGTCAGTGTATTCACAGCTCCGTGTTTCCATTTGTGTTATCTCCGACTCTGTGGTGCTATTTAGATTAATTGGAAATTGTACACACACACACACACACACACACACACACACACACACAGATACATACATAGATATATATATATATATATATATATATATATATATATTTATATATATATATATATATATATATATATATATATATGGTAGCCGTGCGGGCCAAGGCGCTTGCAATAGGTAATAGGCTTGCAAAGTCAAGCAGCTTCGAGCATGGTTAGTACTTGGATGGGTGACCGCCCGATTTGGGTGACCGTCCACCAGGGAAAGCCATGCTGCCCGAGTCTCTCCCCCCCTCCCAGGGTATGTGAGGTCCGTCAGTCTATTGGAGCTAACTAACACTGACCGGGCGTAGGACTGATGACCCTACCCCGTGTACTTAAATCGGGAATCGGATTGTGGTTTACCAGGATGTTAAAGGCCCCCTTGAGGTTCGGTCCATGGACTGTCTGTTTCGGGGAAAGAAATATAGGTCCTCGTACGCCTGCTGACTCCGAGGAGCCACAATCCATGGATCTAGACCGATTTGTTACTGTCCTTGAACCCGAGAAAGTCGGTGGTAAGGACATTGCCAGATTGGTCCCAAAGGGATCTGCTATGGAGCTACGGGTGGCATGTCGCTGCACCATCGAAACCATGGTTCGTAGCAACGTGAGGATGAGTGACCGCCTCCAGGCTATCTGAGCTCTCGCAAGTATCACACGTCTGTAAGGAGACCACATCTTGCGGCCAAAGATCTTCTTGGTCTGTAGTGCCAACCGGAAAAAAAAAAAAAATAAAATAAAAAAAAAAAAAATATATATATATATATATATATATATATATATATATATATACAATAAATGATAAAATGACTCTTTGAATGCGTTAAGAAATATCGAATTTTATATGATTTATCCATTCCTAAATATATTAATAGTTATTTAAAAACCAAAAATATCTTAAACGTTTATATTACATATTACTGCTCCTCTTAGACATATTGTCATCCTCTTTTGTTGTAGTATGCTTTTAAAACTATATTTCGATTTCTCTGCAAAATATTAATATGAAATATTCATTCTAAAATATTTTTTATAAGATTCCATCTTCAATAAATTTCTTCTAAAAGGAGGCAAATTTTCTAGTTGTATCTTTGTTGACTCATGAATCCGTTTACATATTTCCATTTCCATTAATTTATCTAAAGTTAGGACAAACATAGCTAACTCGTGTTCTGAAAGCTTAGCCATTGTTGTGGGATCTGTAACAAGGAAAAGGAATATTGGCATTAATGAAAAGGAATGGTAACACTGAACTGTCAATGCGCTGACAGTAAAAACTTGTTAATGGACCATTAGACTGTAAAAGATCTAAAAGATCATTGAATACCTCCTTAATATTTTTTTTTTAACCTGGGTCCTAAACTGTCGTGTTAGAAAAAATATCATTTTGAATTTATCGTCCAACATTTATTAGTGTCCATTATTTTCCTTTAGTACCATGTCTAAAACTTTTACTGGAACTTGAGAAGTATTAGCTATTTGTCGAGCGCCGTGAGATATTAAAGTTTTGAAAAGTAATGTTCCAGACGGAGATATGAAGACAAACTTCAATCAGTTTAATAATGATAACTTGAAGGCATAAAAAATGTGACTGTAAGTGATTTCTTTTTTTATTATCATAGTACGATAAAGTTCCAGTTCGAATTATTTTCTAGCTCAGATTCTTAGTATATAATGTTGTAAATATAACACATTATTATTTATATTTATTTGTTATTATTTATTTTTGAGAGACAAATTTTCTATAATTTAATTTTAAAAAAATACTACAATCATATTCTTATTACTTTTTTTTTTAATTCAAAACACATGGCACTTCATTAATTAAAAAAAAAAATTAAGGGATGTGATTTATACCATACGATAGAAGTGTAAACATCAAAAAGGTGATATTAATAATACGGAATATAAATTATAAATAACAGATCATTATAAAGAGGATTAAATGCTGAACAATTCCCTAGCTTACAGTATGCAGGTACAATTTTTGGTTTTAGAGATATTAAGTTTTCACTTAAAAAAAAAATATGATACATTTTATTTAGTAAAAAATTGTAAGAGAGCAATTATTTTACAATGTAACAATTATTTTTACTCTGAAAGTGAATATTTCGTAAATGTTCTTTAATTACATGTAACTTGCACATATATCAATAAATTACGTTTTTGTACTTAAATAATATAGATCAACAATCGTTATACGGATTAACTTTAAGTTAGTATTTCTGCCAATGATAATGGTATGTTCAATGTTGTTCAATTAACATTATGGATGGTGATTGCATAATAAATAGTTTCAGGACATTTGTTTAAGATTAAGGTTTCATATCTGTCCAAAATTTGGTTACGTCAGTAATAGCAATTATATAAAAACAAATTATTGCTTCTAGGATTTCTTTCCACATCTTTTGATGTGTAAATTTCATTTCAATGGAATTTCGTTCTAGCTCGAAACTACCCCTTTTTTTTTTTTTTTTGTAGATTCTTGATGCTTTTAGATCTTTTGAAACAGGGCACGTTTATCGTTATGACTGTCTAAGACGATAGTCGACTAGTGGTTATCTTGGAGCAGCGGTACACACAGTTGCGACGCACAGTGGGGCGAGTAAAGGAAAATTCGCGATATCGGCTAAATCTATTTTTTTTTTCAATTAAACTATTCAACAGTGAAAAATGTATATATTGCGAACTGCAAATTCTTTGCAAATCCACAAACTCCACAATTTATCAATAAAACAGTCCAACTGTGCGGCGGTGGATCTATGCCTCGTCATTTCTGCAATACTCTGTATTGGCAATATTTTTTTAACGTGAGGCCAACTCTAGATTTTTAGTAGCGTTTTTTGTAATAATTTTTTTACAGACTTTCTAAGCTTAAATTGATTTTCAGGGTACATCCTTAAAGTCTGACTCTCTTAATCAAAATCCTAAATTATATATATATATATATATATATTATATAATATATATATATATATAATATATATATATATATATATATATATATATATATATTGTGGATGGAGAAGGAACTTTAGTGTGGTCATAAAATATTTACAGGAGTTAAGTTAACAATCAGTTATGCAGGTATTTTATTACCAATGACGATTAGACAGATTCACTGTTACGAAGCCGACTTGAACAAGATTTGAAGTTATATATAATTCAACAGGTCAGTTGGCAGTTGTCACCCAATAGTTGAGCAGCTGGTTGGGCGAGAAGACGCCGGAGCCAAGTTTGGGAAGGAGCACGGATAATCGGAGAATCCGAGTTCTCCTTAACTAACTCGCTGACACTTGGTGACCCAGGTTCTAGGGTAAATATTCCACTTGAGCGGGTGGAACTTTCTGCTACACTTGACGCTAATGATTTAGCCCGGGGATCGATAAGCTAGAACCCACTGTATACTCCAACTGCCCTGTCAGCCATAATTTATTAAACAGTTTATTGCATATCACCTTACTTTAAGAAAATTACTGTTTACTTCTAAATACTGTAATAATAAATCTGATACGGCGTGCTTCACACAGCTTTCAATTGCCAGGTAAATAATTTTCTGTTCCAACAAGGCTAGTTAATATTGAATTATTTGAACCTATCATCTCGTACTTCTATTATATCTCGTACTTCCGACCTCTATCCGCCTCCTCACCGAATATATATATATATATATATATATATATATATATATATATATATATATATAATATATTATATATATATATAAATATATATATATCTGTATATTTTTATACATATACATGTTTATACATACACTGTAATTATATTACTAAATGGACAAATTTTTAATTAATTTTGATTAACAAAAAATGCATTTTTAAATATTTTGTTTATATTTTCTATGAATTTGTATTTTAATTAGTTTAAGTACTTCTTTATACTACCTACTTCAAGAGTTGGTTTTAATTTTGCAGGTCAAATGGGCCAAACAGCAGAGAGCGAGGAGAAGACGGAAAAGAGATTTCCAGACCCGAAAAGACCTGGGAATCTCCGACGAAAAACAGATTTACCTCAACGACCAGAGGTGGCCACAAATGTGGTATCTCGTGAGTAGCATATGTTTACATTTACTCTTGTAAATAGAATTCTCTGGGTTTAGCCAAAGGGTACTATTTATAAATATTCTCTGTTTATCCTTTTTATATATTTTTTTTTTTTTACTTTCTCCCGAACGTCTTCCCTCTCAAACGAACTTTATATATATTTATATAAACGTTAGAAAGAAATGTATCAAAATTAAGTTGCAATTTTATTTTCATTCATAACTTCAGAGTGAAATACTATTTTGAAAATATTTTAATTCAAGTTTTTAAATGGTAGAGAAACGAAATCTTTTTAGACATACTTTTTTTTTTATTATTATCTAGGAGTTTAATTTTAAAATAAAATAAAATACTAGGGGGGTACCCCCTGTCCGCCTAACGGCGGATTGACTCCTATTTTACAAATTATAAAAATGAAAAAGGTGAATGAAAGACAGAAATTGTTTAGGAAGGGAATGGTTGACAACTTACATCTTGAACAGTTAAAAAAAAATATATCTGGGTGATAGGATTAAGGCGCAGTAACCGGAAACCCGCATGACAGTAGTGCACTGCGGGCATTCCTCCTTATATTTCGTATTTCTGTTACAAAATAATATTCAATTCGATGAGGCCGGACTCGAACCGGCGTCGACGGATTGAAGAATGCTTACTCTCGGCCTTGAGGAGCTCATATAGCTTAATTCTCTCATAGAAAAAATATGCACCAATGAAAAAAAATATATTTAGAGAAAAATACAGACGTGCTTCATCGTTGAGAAAGTCCTTCTTCCTAGAATTATCTAGTATCATCTATTGTGCAGGCATTTAAATTAAGAATTTTTTGTGTTATAAAATAAGAAATTGATAAAAAAATTCTTTCTGAAATCATAATTTTCAATTCCTATTCACTTCAATTTTATCCCACAGACTGAAATCCAAACTTGTACAAGTCAATATAAGCTCTTTTATATACACTTTTTGTTTATTTTTTCAGCTTTCAAAAATTAAGAAAACATTTTTTTTTATAATTTGTTTTTAATTTACTTTTTTCTTAGCATTAATTTATTATTATTATTACTATTCATTAATTTTAAAAACATTACTAGACCGTAGTTATAAACACTGTGTCGTTAGGGATGGATATTGTAAGTAGTGTTGTCTAAATGCGAGACCAAGACGAGCCTTGGTCTTGCAAACTCAATCTTGGCCATGGTCTTGGTCTTGCGCAAGAGATTCGCAGTTACTTATTAGCTTACTACTATAGAGATATTACTGTAATTTTTTAGATAAGAGAAGCCTAACTAAGCCCGAAAGAAAAATTAGAGGAGTTAAATGCAAGAGTATATTGGTTATACCAATTATTTACATGTAACTAAGATTGTAAAGTTTTAGTAACTATTTTGCCTTAATTTTTATTCAAAAAAACCTATCTTTTTTACCAGTCCTGTTCTTGGTCTTGTAACAGTTATGCGCCCTTGGTGGTGGTCTTACAACGTGCCAGCTGTTAAAAATTGCATTTATTGCTACAATACCAATTTATTGCACACTTTACCGATCCGGAAATAAAGAGTGTGTACGTTTTTATATATTTATATATGTTTAATCTCTATTGCTTAGTTGTTTTCAAATATGTCAATCTAAGGTTCTTTGAGTATTTGTACGAATTGTAGTTTTTTTTTTTTTTTCCTTTTTTTAATTTTCGAACCGATATTGTCCCTAGAAAACTTTTTTTTTATTTATAATTTTATTGAAATTTACAACTGTATTACATTAAAAATACAACAGGTAAATGTGACATTGGTAACATGACATGTAAAATATGAAGAGAAACTACCAATTGGTAGAACTCAAATTAAAGTTCTACATTAGAAGATCCCGAGGCCATCTTCTTTTCAGACGCCCCGTCGTGAAGGTTATCAGGGATAGAGGAGGAAGCAATGTTTGAAACAAGAGGGTTCGGATGGTTCTGCAGTTTGTTATGGAAGGATAGGTGTCTGGATTGGGCCAAATCGGAAACACATGGAACATTAAGGTCTTTATGGATGATTTTGTTTGTGACAAAGTAAGGAGCGTTGAGGATTTTAAGCAGGATTTTGGATTGTAAGGATTGGATACGAGAGGAATTCGATGGCTTAGTGGAGCTCCAGAGCTCAATTCCGTAGGTCCAAATAGGTCTTATTATTGTCATATATATGAGTAGTCTGTAATTGAGTGAAAGCTTAGAGCGTTTATCTAGTAAGTGTTGGAGTAGTCAGAAACGTCGAGCGGTTTCTTGTCGTTTCAGTCTTGTATGAGGATTCCATGTGAGTCGTTTGTCGAGGTAGAGTCCTAGGTAACGAATTTGTTCAACTGGGATAAGTGGGGAATTGTTAAAGAATACTGTAGGACAGGATGTCATAGGTTTGCGACGCAGGGTAAAGGTAATTTGATGGGATTTATTGGAGTTTATTTTAATCCTCCAGTTTTGACACCATTCTTCGAGATTTGTGATGTGTGATTGGAGAGTTTGGGATGGAATTGATGGATCGTTGTTAACTCTCTAGAAAACTAAAAATTAAATTGATAATTTTTAAAACATTACCTCGGCAACTGAGAAAATTTATTACTTGTAAACTTAGGTTACAATCCGAAATAATTTATTTCCATTGATTCACAACGCATGTTGACATTCTTCATTACAGAGAATTTTAATGTTCAACAAACTTAAACCCCTTAGTAGCGGAACATGGATAATTAATTATTACTTTTCCTAATTTCTGGGGGGGGGGGGAGGGGAGGAGGAAGGGAAGGGGTTAAGGTAGCGGAATGGAAGGTGCTAGTGCGTATCTCCATGTACACTCCGTTAACTCCAGGAACTTACTTGTCTCTGATTCATGGCGGCATTTGCTTACCACTATCTCAGCAACTGTTTCTGTCGCAGGAGAGGGAGAGAGGGGAGGTAAACGACCCTCTACTATACTAGAATTTAATTACTTGCTTTTTTTTTTTGTTAATTTGTTACATTAGGTACATTTGTTGAAGTATACAAAAAAGTACTGGTCGACATCGGCAAAGTGAACCCGAACACCAATAGCGGGTTTAGCATGACAAAATCCACTTTCAAAATACGAAGAATTTAATATAGCATAATTTTTATAAATAATAAGAGGCCTTAAAAATGGTCTAGTAAAACTTCAAATTTGCGTCACCAAAATTTATTTAGAGAGCACATTTTTACGGGGTTGTGTATTTGTGAGTGGAGCATATATTTACAGACTGTGTAAACAAGTAAAGAAATAAAAACGAAGGGAATATAAGGGTTTAACATGACAAATCCACTTTCAAAATACAAAAAATTTAACACAGCATAATTTTTATAAATAATAAGAGGCCTTAAAAATGGTCTAGTAAAATTTCAAATTTGCGTCACCAAAATTTTTTTATAGAGCACATTTTTACGGGGTTGTGTATTTGTGAGTGGAGCATATATTTACAGACTGTGTAAACAATATGTAAAGTAAAGAAATAAAAACGAAGGGAATATAAGGTAAATTGCAGTTAGAAAGCAATTAGGAGCCGATTAGGGAGCAAAGGAAGTCAGTAGTATCCACGGTTTTCGGATCGATATTTCTAAACGAGTAGACAAGAGAAATGACAAAAAAAAAAAAAATGAACGAATATTGACATTCATAGTGGAGATTACTATCAATCACCTTCGTCTGACAATTTTCATTTGAAAAAGAAAATCGAGCTCGATATCCTTCAAAACACCAAATATCAAAAGAATATGCTACAATAAGCAGGCTCAGAATTAAACATACCAAACTGACCCATCTCCACATACTTCTTGGCCTACATCGACCAACATGTGACATATGTGAACATACTAATCTGACCATAGAACACATATTCCAGTGCAAAAATTCCGTAAATAGCAAATTGAACTTATAATTTATGACAAAGCACCGTATAAAGAAAACAATGGAAATGAAAAAGTGCTAAAGTACATTAAACAAATAAAATCAATAAATTATATTTAAGAAAAAAGATCGTTGCTAATGTTAAGCAGTCGATGCCACGTTAAAAAAATACAAATAAAAAGAAAAAAACACGATTAATTTCTAGAAGGCGTTAATATCATAAAATGGTATACTCATTCATAAATGAGCTGTTTTTTTTTTAAATAATTTTACAGTTATTATATTATTGGGGATATTGAAAATAAATCCAAGCATTTACTGTTTTTGAAGAACAACTCTCACAAAATGTGTATATTTAGTAAGCACGTGAAACAATACACATAGCTTTTCAAAATAATTGAATTTATAAGAATATCACGCATTTTTTGGGATTTTTGTCTAATTGAACATTCATCCCATTAAATTGAGGACAATTAAGCAATCCATATTATCAGAAATCTGTCATAGAACATATTGATCATTAAAATGTTGATTATGAACATTAAATATTGGGATATTCCCAGTATCTGCAATTAGTAAAACAACTGTAAAATTAATTTGTCCCGGTTATGTGAAATTTATTGTGCAGGGTTTACAAACCTAACAATGATTCGAAAAGACATTGTAAGAAAAAAACAATGACTAAATTATTTGACAATATATTTTATTTACATATTCTTAGAAATTCTTTAAAGGCAACTGATGGATTGCTCTTATCTTATCCTCCTTGCCTTCATAGCATGATATATTGATTGACCAGTTTGTATTCTTCACCTCCGCGTGTTAGTATTTTGGTCTCAGATCACTTCTGTTATCGTGCGAAGGATTTCTTTCTCAAATCATTCGATACTTCTTTCTAGTGGTGGTTACTGTCTTGGTTTCGCAGCTTTATATCAGAACGGGCCTTGTCATAGTCAGTTTTTATGCACCCTTAATTAGAAGTAAAATATATTTTTTTTTTGAGATTCCAATACCTTTGAAAGAGAGGAAAAAAAACTTTGTTAGCACTTGTTATAAATGTTACGATTTCTGACTGTTAATTGGGATTAATTTAGAGTCGGAGTGTTTGAATTTTCTTCTCTC